CCAAACCATTCTATGATTCTATGATTTCCACGTACACTATTTTCAGAGAGCAAGGGTCTTTCATCCAAACAGAAAGCTCTCCTTGTCCTCAGAATCACCAAGGAATCCTGAGTTTTTATAAATTTATGAGTACAGCTCAGCTGGGAAAAGCCCACAACTTTTTTAGCCAGTCTCCTCATCTCTTCTGATCAGTGGTAGAAAACTACAGTAGAAAGATTTAATTACAAGGGGGAAATATAAAATATCAAGAGATAGGAAAGAGGGGTGAAAACTTTCGGGATTTGTGTTCAGGGTATCACTGCCCAGAGGGGCTAAGGAAAACAGTGCAAAAAGCTTCTTTCCTTTAAAGAATCTGGATAAAACTAGGTAAGGACTCAATGCCACCAGGTAACAGCAAATACACCTCTGGGAGATGACGATCCTTTCCTACAGCATTCAGAAGGAAACACCCTGCACCAGTTTGGGTTCCACTCTTCACTGGCTGTAACACATTCTGTGCAAGCACCAAGGAGTAGATACCAACTGGTTTCTGAATACTTCTACCACCCCGAGCACAGAAACCTCTTTGAACATTAATCACTTCATCCAGAACAAAAGATCATCCCGACCTTCAAACTTAAATGCAAAGTCCCTAGAAATCCAAAGCTCCAGTGATCTGAAATGTCACCCAAAGCTAGAAGTGACCTTAAACCATCCGTATCTGATGTTACAGTCTACCTTTTACCAGTAGTAAATAAAGACTGAGGAACTCCCTTCTGGCTTCCTGACCAGAGAAGATAAATGTTGGAAGCACTGCTCCTCTTGTTGACAGTCATTTACACTCATGGGGAGCAGTCACACAGCTCAGAGCATGGAACAGATCCATTCACAATATAACATAAAGTCTCTTCCACTGGTATCCCTAGCTCCTAATCCATGCCTCCCCCATTATTTATTGTACTGGCATGTTTAGACTGCTCAAAGCCCCTCTGGCTCCCCATCCATTATTTGGTGACTGCTCCTTATGCAAAATACCAAATGCCAAGTTAGAGTATTGCCTCTCTCTTCCTACAGCCTCAGCAAACACAACATGGATAATGAGGTAAGGGCAGCCCCTCTGCCCCCTTTTCTCCAAAAGTGAAAGTGGAAGCAGAGAGCTAAATTGTACTGACTGCTCATGGCTCACAAGTGATCAGTGGCTGATTATCAGAGAGAACAAAAATCAAGATTCTCTTTGACCACAGCAATGATTTTATAAACCAGGATGTTCCGAACCTGATTTCAACATCTGCTGCATTTTATTCTTCCTGCAAAAAGCCTGGGTCTTTCTTGCAGCTGCAACCTTGTCACAAGCAGCTGGATTACCTCTGCTTAACTCACCTGCATACAAACGTGAAAGTAGTGTTTCCATTTACCTTGAGAAACACTGCTCACTTGCCCAAGTGTTTAGAGCTAATTTGCTGACTGGCTCCGTCTCCATTTTTCAATAGTTCAGCAAAGTCTGCTGTGAGCTGGCACACACACCCCCTGCCACTGGGTTTGGCTGTATGTCAGTGACAGAAGGTAGAATTAGTAAGAGATGAAATAGTTATCTTTTACCAATTCCATAGGAATTGTATGGGTTTTCCCACCAACGGATGTACTGGATATACATCAGCTCGGCTTCTCCAAGCCTCATTATGAAAAACGCTAACCTTGTTCATCATCCTCAGAGTCACTGTCAGAATATCCATCACTTCCACCCTCCTCGCTGTCAGAGGCCTGCAGCACTTCCTGTGATGAGGTTTTGCTCTCATTTTCATACTCTAAATTATGTTTTTTATCATCTGAGGATGACTTTGACATTCCATTCATTTGATCATCGGTCTGTCCCTCTTCATTAACTTCTTCATCTGCTTCAAAATCTTCATCATACTCTGAAATAAAAGAATCACACTGTGAGACAGGAAAAGAACTTCACAACTAATAAAGTTCTTTTCAAGCAGACAGAGCTTCATTAATCCCCCTTTGCCTTTGCTCAGTCCTTTTAAAGCCATGAAAAAACCTAAAGCCACAGACCGGAATTGTAAAAGCACATTATCATAAAAAAGCATCATGTTCTTCATAGGTAGAGCAGCAAAAGTGCAGTAAAGCTATTGAATGATGTGCCAAGTATGATTAATACATTAAACCCAAAACAAACACACTCGTTAGCCACTGGAAGGGCTGGGAAAATTAAGGGCTGGGCAAACTCAGAATGCAAGACAGTCTCCTTACAGGACAGAAACTTGTGACGAGAAAAGAACACAAGCACTAGAGAAAGCTGGAGAAGGGTAGTACATTGTAGTGTCCAGGAAGATGATTGTGAATTGACATGGCTAGTGAGCAAAGAAGCTAACTAAATGAATTCATTAAATCCAGCCAAAGGGTGCTGCAGAGGAACAACCTGTATTGCACTGTTCTAACACACTCCCTCAGGTCCCAGGTGAAGTCCAAGAACGGACAAAGCTTGGGGCAGTTTTGCATCAGCAGGGCTGGGTTTCATCCCAGGTTACCAGCCTGAGGTGTAACACCTGATAGATACCATCGCTCATGTCTATAGGCAAGGGCTGTCTCCATGCACCTGCACTGGAGAGCCCTTCCCCTTCCAGCCCAGGCTGTGCTGTTGGAATGCACAGAGATGTCTGATGCCACTGAAATCCAGGAGCGCCACTGCTGCCACCAGCTCGCTGCACACAGCAGGGACCCGGACAGTGCTGCAGTGCTGCCACCAGCTGTCCCTCCGGCCATGCAGCCTCACCCTGCAGAGCTTATTGCTCGCTGCTCTTGTTCGTCAGAGCTTTTCAGTACTGGAGTGACAGAACCTTGAGGACAAAGATGAAGAGTATCTGATGCAGAACCAATCAGCCAAATAAACTATTGCCCAGGCAATGAGAATTACGGGAATAACGTTTACTCTCTGTATTAAAAATCAATTGAGATTCCACCTGCCTGGTTGGGAGCGAGGCCTCTGCAGGTAACTGCCAGAAAGGTGCCGGGCTCCTGAGGGAGAAAGGCTCGATTAATCACACACATCCACAGGGAATAATGAGGACACTGTGCAACAGCACTGCAGTGGGAGCAGGGAAGGCGAGAGGTGAGCTGCAGAGCTGGAGCAGAGGGGACAAGCTGCTGCAGGCTGGGGCCGGTGTCGCAGTGCCTGGGGGCAGTGCTGGAGAGAAAGGGCTGGAAGAGCCCTGGTGAACAAGGCGCTGCGCTCCCCTGCCCACGGCCAGGAGAGAGACCAAGGGGTTTCCGCTGGAGTTCCATCGTGCTGACACTGCTGCTCTGCCCCAGCACTCGGCCTTCTCCCTCCATGGCCCATCCGCACCAGCAGCAGAAGGCTCTTCCACCTCCTGCCCCCGTGTCCACCGTCTCTTCTCCACTCACTGATGTCCCGTATCCCTTCAGAGCTCACCCAGCCCCACCGCTGCCCTGCCCACACCCAGTCCGAGCCCTCCTTTCCACTCCACATGTCCTCCACCAGTTGCCATCTCCTCCCTCACCGTGCCCCATGTTCCTCCTGCTTTCTCATCCACCTCAGGCTCCTGTTTCAGACCCTCAGACCCTCCTTCCCTACCTTCCTGACTCTGCAAAACCCTCTTGTCCTGGTGCTTGGCCAAAAGGAACCCCACTAGTTTTATTGCCCAGACGCAGGCATCACCACGTGTCTCACACATAAGGCATCCTAAAAGAGGGTGCCTCAGGCAAAGTTGGAGGCCCACAAGTCCCATGCCTTCTCCAGAGTCACCCTCTCCCATTTTTCACTCCTGCTTGTGTCTTGGAATACCATACCATTTTTAATGGTGTCTTCCTGCCTGACTTCGCTCTTCC